ACTTGAAAAAAAAAACGCAAACATACGGTGTCACCGTGACATCCATTTGTCTGTCATGGGCCGAGTGCACACTGTAACAGATGCCCTGCTGCATGTGGTGACGAGATATGCTTATAACAGTTAAAAGACAAAAGCAAACTTTTTCGGTTTCAAAATAACGGTGTAAGAAATATCGTACGATTTGCGAGGAAAACCAGACGAATAATATCCAATCACCTCAGGGTGATTGAAAGTTCATTGTCGTCTCACATTAAGTGAGAGCGATAGAAGTCTGAAACCTCCAATGAGAGAGTGAAAGGTATGTGAGGAAAACTACTCCTAAATGGGTGAATGAGATCTATTGATTGATTCGACAGTCAGAAAAGAAATCTCTCGAACTAAGAATGATTTATGGATCCCTGGGATGAATTCAAACCGGTCGAATCATGAAGGAGCTCCCGAGGAGTTACCGGCAACTATACACCAATCATGCCCACTACTGCCTTGTACTTGGTTTTTCGAAGGTCCTCGAAGTAAATATCCCAGTGACGTTGGGGATGTTCCTTGTACCAAAGTCCCACGAAATTAGTCTACCGTTTTTAAGTCAGTTTATCCTTACCTCCCTCCAAGGAGTTAGCTACTGTAAAGTTAATGAAGCTTTCCGATAAAGGGTCCTCGAGATCATTTTAATTGATGTTTAGAAATAATGCATCTACTTAGTACTCTGGAACATATACATTTTATATATTTTCTTCATAGGATAGTCTGGATGATCGTTTCCTATGTCTATATACCCACTGAACAAGCAGGACAGTAGCCAAAACCAACACATGTAAAATCTAATTGCACAAACTTTAACCCAGAAAATTTATTATACGAAAAGCTACAGGAACTTTGTTATCAAAGGATATGATGCCCAGCTGTGAGAACTGCTCCCATTTTTGTCGGGGAATCGATGACGTCTTTTGGTTAACTAGAAAAATACAAACAGACACTGAGTATAGAACACGTTGAAAAACAAAATTCGATGTATGGGAAAAGGAAACAAGTGAAAAGTGCGCGAAATTCGGTCATTTTAACAATTGCTTCTAATTTGAAAACTGGGTGTCTATCGTGGTGGACTGAACCCATGAATCTAAATTCGTACATTAACGTGGTTGTTGTTTCAAGTTTGCTCTCACTTCAAGATCTGACAAATCTCACTCAACAGCATATAGCTACCTTTCGCGTCAAGTAATATAAACAGAGGTGTGTTCGGAAACCTGGGCACTGCATCTAATCAACAAGATCCGAAGCAATAAAGCATTTCGTTTGGGGTGCACACTCTAGCACCGATTATTGTGAAGCCGGATATATATATATATATATATATGTAGAGATCAAAACCACTTTTAACAAAATACCAATCCCAGCTCGGACATACAAGGAGGAAATCAATCGGGCAATAACTGTGTACACTCGATCCATATTTGACAACAGCAATCTACTCACCGAGCCTGAACACGCTTCTTGTAGCCAGAACGAAAACGCTTAAGCATGTGTTGTGCAGGGGATTCTAGCTGTCCTCGTTCCGTGTCGACTTCCCACTCGGCTGGCAAAAATTCCGGATCGGGAATGCGGAAGCGCTCAATCAATAGATCTAGGAACACCTCTGGTGTGGTCACACGACGATACACTAGGAGAAATGTGTTGACTAGTCTGGCATCAAAATACGATGGGTAAGTCATGCGCTCAATCACTTTTTCCAAGGTAGCCATGCGAATTTGGGGTGGATAGCCAGCAGATAAAGTGGATACCGGAACTCGAACCGAACCGCTCGGTGTTGCCAACCCCGTTCGTGACACCAATGATTTGAGCATATCGGAGCTGCTAGCAGCAGTCAACGTCGCCGTATTGCTATCGTTAAGATTAACGAGATCTGTGGAGCCGTTCGTCGTATCCTCCGCTTTCGAACCAGGACTAGGCCGTACTTCGGTACCGACGGCAANCCTGTGCAGTTGGCTCATAGTCTTCTGATTCGGGGGGGAGACAACCGTCTTCGTCTAGGTCATCATCGGAAGAATCGATAGAACCTCGGACTTCCGGTGTGGTCGTCATTTCACCAGGCACACCAGTTTCAAAAACAATATTTTCTGCACAGTCGGGTTGAGCAAACCTAGAATAAAAATTAAATGCAATTTGCGATGACAAAGGTAAAAAAATTTAAGGCATAGATACAAGACTAGCAAAAAACTAGGAATTGCAACTGCGGAGGACAGTTGCAAGTATAAGAAAGGAAATGTTCGAACTGACAGGTATCAAGTAATTTAAATCATTGTCACTTGAATGGTAGGTGCTTCTCGTTTTGAACACTGCAATCAACCCACAGATTGTGGCTAGCACCCAAAGTAAAATAAAACCATTTTTTCAGTACCTTATGTGGATCCTCATGTTCAAATTCCGAGAGTTTACTATCATCATCATCCTACAGCTAGATACAGCGAACAGAACTCCGCTGACTGCTGCCAAGCTCTTGACGTACACAAATTAAGTGATATAATACAAGTTTGAGAGGGATTAACCCTGAGTGGAGAGAGGTAAAGAAATTTAACCCCTATGACCAACATACGGAGTGCAAAACCTAAGTGTGCATACATACCGTTTTAGGTATTCTAGCCTGATCAAAAATAACAAGAACACCAAAGCTATCAGTTCGCGGCCATATCCTTCAATGTCTCCAATCGATTAGTTACAGAGTCCTTAGGCCCCCAACCTGAAAGATGACGGACATCTACTCTACCTAATAGCTGTGTGCATTTCTCCATGCCTCACCTCGACGTGATCTGTTGACCTCCTCGTGGTTTCCTCCAACTAAAAATAAGACGCAGTGCGGTAGACGATAGCTGAGTATGCGCAATACATGTCCTTGTTATGGCTTAAAACTGACTGCCAGTGGTCAAATTGATTGATCGATTAACTGACTGTCTGAATTCTGGCTTGACGGTATTCGCATGTAGTGAAACGTGTGAGTCTGCTTGCCTGCCTTCCTACACACTGATTATTCCTACTTGTTCCCCGGCTTGTGTACCGGCCACATATTTACTGTTTACAATAAACTTACTGCTTCATTCGTTGTGCGCTCATCTTCCCACTAATTTGGAACACAACAGTCCTAAACAGCAAAGCCAATTCATTTAAGTTCGATGGGACAAGGAACTTTCAATCGAATCACTACCAAATACGCGACGGCTTATCTCAGAGTTGCTGACATGCTCGCTCCATCCAACTCTCGCCAAACTACGTAAACACTGACAGTCGAAAATATCTAGACGACGAATATCTTCCACGAGCAAATTTAGGGTCTCACAACCATGAAGAAGAACTGACCGCACACTGGCACAGGGTACACAAGCTTCTGATTTCAAGGAAACATCACTTCTGCATTAAAGGTGTTTCAGTCCTGCGTAAGATGCGCAAGCATTGGAAATGTGGGCCGTTAATTCCTTGACTATGGTACTGTTGTGAGATACTACTCACTTGTGAGTAATCGGTAACTTTCGGTGATTAAAAAGAGAACAAGACCATCAAGGACCAAGTAATATGTTTGCGAATAATAAACACTGCCTGCTCTACACATTACCCTATGTGTCGGAGAAAATTGCGATGGCAAGTTTCTGATAAGGTTTTCGTGTTATGCACACAAAATTAGTGACCTTCAATCTGTATTCTGCAGTAAACAACTCACCTCGACCAGCGCCGCCTTTTGGGAATATAACAGTACTGTCATTTACCACGCAACTACCTAAGTAGAAGAGTCAGGCCACTAGAACTTATTCTTGACCATCAGAAATCGGAACCGGGGTAAACGACACCCAAGCTTACAGCATTACCATGCAATTTNGACGAAATTGAACAGAAATGATGAAACAGAGCATCATTGACGAACACCACTCCTGGTTCGGAACGATTTGCTTAGCCCTACGTATACCCTGATGCCACCACAAGTGTACAGGTACAGTGATCGCAATAGGTTTCCATACTTCGCAAATCTAATTCGATCCCACTATTGGTCTACTCCACTATGTCGCAATACTGCTAGCTCCTGTTTTAGCTTCTCCTCATAAAGTGCGCAGACAGGCGGATCACGCAAAGAATGGTGATCTAACTGAGGATGCGATTTCTACCGATGAGTCGAAGAGTGAAGTGCATCCGAACTAGTGCATGATCCGACTCAATGCAGGTTGTCTAATAGGAACTGCAATTTTGTACTGAATCACGCCGACGGTAGTGTACTGCCATACGGTCAACTTTACCGTTGAACTAGAACATTATGTTGCCGTTCGATGAGAGCCGTGTGAGGTTGGTGCTAGATAAGAACAATCAATGATCCGCACAGAACTGAATTAGTCGATCAATGTTGGCTGTTCGCTGGGTGAGAAGAGCGAAGCTAACCCTAAACGGGCTTCTGATGCACCTAGTTTTCCAACCGATGCGTTGAAACCATCAACAAGCATTATAACATCAGAGTTATGAGTCAAACGGAGGAACTGGATGAGTTTATCGTAAAATTCGTTCATTTTTTGAATCCGGATTGCAGTTGATTGGTGCATATGCGGAAATGATGAACAAATAAACTTTAGTGTTGCTGAGCTCCCAAACACTAACTAAACCATAGAACCTCATCGCGCACAAACCACTATTGACGAGTATTCAATCTATCAGTGGAGTTCAGCTTTATCGTCTAGTACGATCCCTACACTGTGCCGACCCAGCGGGAGGGTTTCATCGTCAGAAATGACTCGAGGACAGACTCGGTGCATTCAGACGGCTTATACTACTAGGATTCCGAATTCGTGTCTCGATACGCAACGGACATCAATTTCTAAAGACTTCAGTGTACGCGCAAGACAAGCTCTTTGACTTACCTATATCAGTCTTCAGATTGAAGGCCCCTAGATTCAGAGATTGACGAGGCTTCAGAATACACACTTTATTTAAAGGTAAACTAATTAAAGTGCTATTTGGTAACAACCTTCGCGACTGACGAAGAAGTTGCCTGATGAGGTGTTATGGATCGGAAGGGGCGGAAACGAGGGTTGGGTATAGAGGACAAAGAGTTGAACAGAGGCTGGGATGTTTGAGAAGGGGTCCACATATTACAACACACAACACTCGATGCAATCGGCAGCGCGACCCTGATAGCTCTGCGCAATGATCGATACAGTATGAAATTATTTATAGCTTCGGTGTTCATTGGAGCTTAAAGGACGGGTACTACCAGGGAGCTCAACCACTAATCAGAAGAACGATCAGGTTTCTCAATCAAAGCTTTTAGTTCTGATAACAACCTGACCATCATGACGAGCCTACACCTTGACGTGGTGTGATGGCTTGCGTGCCTCCATGACCTAGCGAGC